ACCGAGTTACAGCCTCATATGAAGCATCAATGGCACATGCCAGGCATGAAAACAGACGCCCATAAGGTTCCCTAAATTAAATCCTTTTACTTTCACTAGCCTCGGCGCAAATTCACCGTTTTCACAGCAACTGTCACTGTTTGTTTCTCATTAACGAGGACTTATTAACGCGGCGGAACGGATGAATTCGTGCGGTTTGCAGTCGTCGCGGTGTCGGCTCACTACGGCGAGGGTTTACCTAAGTCCACTGCGAGCTCACCAAACGAATATCTCCACCCAATCCACCCACGGTGCCTCGCTTGTCAGAGACGGGCCACAGCAGAAGGATGATTAATGTCCCACCTCTCACCCCCCACTGTGAATTAGAGACCATGGGTCGAAACTATTTTTCTTGGTGAGCAGGAGCACGCTTGTGGCGAAAAAATGGGGCAAACACTGTTTATCATCTGCCTGACGACAGCCCTCCTCGGGGCAAATTAACCACGCGGCCATATCGACTGGCACAGGCCGGGAGTCAGTGCCCCTTCACTTTGATTAATCTCCCCGTGTTCCTGTTCCAACTCTATCAAAGTAATCTAAGTGAAGACACACAGCATTGATCTGTAAACACAGCATACTACTGTACTGGAAACGCATACACTGGGAGGAAAAAGGGACGATTCCTGGCCATCATTTTCATACAATTTTCTTGATCATCACCTGAGTTCAAAGTTCTTCTTCGCTGTGTCGTCAGCATCCCGCAAAAAAAAACCCCCACGCATCTCCAAAATGTAAACTTCTCGCAGGCTAAGAAAACAGATCTCCGTCTCTGTTGCTTTGCTAATCCAGCGGGGGTTTAATGGTTTATGTAGCTTAGGAAGTGGGAAAACATTTTTAATCCGTAAAAGAATTCGTCTTTATCAGAAGCGGCGACAGTTCGGCTCAACTGACAAACTTTTCGTTTGGGAGTTTGCGAGAATTCAGTGTCACGGAGAGAAAAAAAACACGCTTTGCATGACGTGAATATGAACTACTGTTGGAAGTGTTATTAGATCCACACGTATCCCACTAAATATTGGATTGTCGCCTCTTGTTGCCTGAATTTAGTGTTTTCCTTTGCATCAAAACCAACATTTCCACCATAAACGGATGCAGAAATGGTACGATCTGGTGCATAAAAATTCGCTAGAAGGCAGAAAATGAAGTTTCTTTACACTCAAAGAGGACAAGTTTAAAGTTTGTCCCTCTAGTATTCAGATAAAACTTGCATCCATTTATACAGGAAATATATGTTTTTACCACTTTTTTTTGACATATTCGTTTAGAGACGTTTTTATTCTTATGATAAAGACAGTTTGTTGGTCTTCGTCTTCATTTTTACAAAACATGGCCGGTATTCCCTTAGCGGTGTGCAGATGTGACATGTGATCAAGACATTGTCGTTACATTTACTTCATGATGTTGTGTTTACCTCTCGTATACCTTTATGGATTCATTTTCTTTATATTTTCTTAAATCATGTCATTTTAGCATTGTTTGTATGCACGTTTTCCCCCTCTTCATTGTGGGAGATCAGTTGTTTCTTATACTCTCTTGTCACATCAGTTTTACATGCATCTCAGTAAAACATGGGGCACAACACAATAATTTATAAATACAGTCGTGACTTGATAATCCGACCCTTAACAATCCTAAACCTTGCTATCCGACAGGTTTTTAGGAAAAACTAACAGAACCCTTGAAAAACAGCCTTAACATACTGACAGCCTTGGATTCTGACTCCGACATGACATTTTCTGTCACCAATCAGGATAACGGTGTATTATCTGATTGAACAATCCAGCAGATTGGCTACGTTCAGACTGCAGGACTTAATGCTCCATTTTGTGAAATCTGATTTTTTTGTGAGTTCCTTCACGTTTCCAATTAAATGCGACTTGTATGTGATCTGCTGTGTGAACTTCATACGACCCAAAAGTGTCCCGCATACACAGAAGAGGACACAACGACGTCACACGCAGTGAGCGCGCTCAGTGTTTTCGGAAGTAAACATGGATGGTAACGGTGGAGTGGATCCACCACTCCCCCGCCGCCACCAATGGTGGAAACAGACCTGTGACCGCTAACTAAACTGGCATCAGCAGCCAAGTTCTGCCTGTACGTTCCGGCCACTTCCACCCCATCACAGCGCTCCCCCAGGGTGGAAGTGTCCCCCCGCTGACTGTGTCGAATATTCTGATATTCATCATTAATTGGGCCTGAATATCCAGAGACCAGAAAGTGCTATTGGGACCAGCCCTACTGGTTATTATAACAACTATGACCAATAATTAGCAACAAATGAGCCTTCCAGCATCAAGCCCTCCTTGTATCTCGACCTCCGTCCTGACAATCCGACATAAAAGAAGGTTTTACATTTAGATTATCGAGTCACGACTGTACCAAAACAATAAAGCACAAAAATGCGTCTATTGAACATTTTTCCATGTCAAACTGAAGCCGAGTGACTGAACGTACAAACGAAAGAGCGCAAATCAAACACATTCGTTCGTATTTACCCCAAACACGCTTGTAAATCGAACCAGACTCGCTCGTATGCGGTTGAGCAAGGCACTCGACCACCTGCTGCTCGGCATTCGCAACGAGAAAACTGTGGCTGAACAACAACACGTGTTGCTACGTGATGTACTGACGAGCCATCAGTCATCGCTCCCCGGAGGAAAGAAGAAGTTTATTTTTCCATCCCGATCTATAAAGTTTGTCTAAGGTGGCAGCTTGCGCTCGTCGACTCAAGGAATCCACGCAAAATGTTGTGTTAATCCATCTCTGCACCGACTGCACCGCATATGCAAAACAATCTGTTTTATGTGTAGCCTTGCCAATGCGTTTGGCAGACACTGACTGAGCAGTTTTTTTTTTTTTTATTGTGTTATTTCTGATAACTCATGTGGATCTGCCGGCTTAAATCCCGTGGCGTGACATTTACAGTACCCCTCCTTTTGTCAGGGACTTTACATGGAAGACAGATGGTGCTCACATGCAGCTTGCATTAAACCGGACAGGGCATCAGAGCAGTGTTATTGGTTCTCTGAGGTGACACTGATTTCCACTACATGTGTCTGTTGGTAGGGATGCAAAAAAAAAAATTGGCGCCAGACACGATGATCACACGCTGGTAAAGTCTGAATCATGAGGTTAGAAAACATATCTGCTCACCAAATTGTCACTTCTCATCTAAGTTAATATAACCATCATTGTTTAAGGATGTTTTTTCTGCTAATTTCACAGAGTAAAGTAAATTTAGCATCTTTCTAAAAAGCCTGTAGACAAATAAGTTTTTTAGTGGCTGGTGTTAATTTACAAGCTCACAATAAAAGCATACGGAATGGTTTATGTGTGCTGGATGACTGCTCCTCGCTGCGCCATGTGGCCGGCATGTTTTGAATTTCCACGATCACACTGCACAACACGAGTTTCCAATGAGCTGTGACGTCTGCCATGTGATGTGGACTGTGAGATTAAAAAAAAAAAAAAAAAGTGGGGTAATTGAAGTGGCCTCTGTAAGTCACTACGCCGAATTGTTTTAAAACGCTCTGTCTTTGTTGGTATGTACACATTCTTTATTTGCTTCATTTGTCATTTCGGGCAGATTATGCAGCTTTGTGGTCTGCTCTCATGTGGCATGGATCATCCAGGTTTTTTTTTTGCTCGTCTTTTGTCCTTTTTTCTTTTTGTTTTGTTGCTGGAGATTTTTTTTTTATTGGCTTTTCTTTTCATGTCACCTGCACATGTCAAAGTTTTCTTTCCAATACGGCTGTATTATCTTAGAATGTTTAACCAGTTTATTAGTGCACACTGTAAAAAAAAATGATCCTGTAAATTCTTTCCAGTGTTATGATTACCATTTCCTTCTACAAATATGCAGTTAATCATGTATTTATTGATTGTAATTGATCACAGTACTCTACAACAATGTAATCCACTGTAACCAACATTTATTTTAACTGTAGTTACCAGTAAATTACAGCATATTTTTCCTAGAAAATGTATAAACACTACTGTAAAATGAAGACACACTCCATAAATGGCAATGGCGCTTTAATATTTAGGAGCCAGAATTGAGATCAACCAACCGTTTTAGAAACCAAGGACAAAAAGTTTCTAAAAAGTCCTATCTCAGGTAATCGGTGGAAAGTTTAATAATATTTTTAGCTGCCTAAATCAAGTTTCTACTCTAAACTGTTTTGCAAAATCCATCCATCCATCATCTATACACCGCTTAATCCTCACTTGGGTTGAGGCTGGAGTCTATCCCAGCTGACTTAGGGTGAAGGCAGGGGACACCCTGGACAGGTCACCAGTCTATCACAGGGCTACACTTAGAGACAGACAACCAAGCACACTCACATTCAGACAATTTAGAATCACCAATTAACCTCAACATGTTTTTGGACTGTGTGGGAGGAAGCCGGAGAACCCGGAGAGAACCCACGCTGCACGGGGAGAACATGGAGACTCCACGCAGAAAGATCCCGGGTTTCCTCAGGGATGCGAACTGGCGACCTTCTTGCTGCGAGGCAATGGTGCTACCAACTGCGCCACCTTGCAGCTCTGTTTTGCAAAATGTGTAATTTACTTCACACACAATTCAGTTTTTACTCGTGGTCATTCTTGTTTTTGCCTCCAAAAAAAAAAGTATATTTTGGAAAAACAGTCCACTCCTGGTAAAATTTGTCTGCCGTTTCGTAGTAATTTATTACAATCTAGATCTGTTACAGTCTAAACATAATATAAATTGAACAAAACACACATTATACTTATTAGTATAGTTTTAAAAAAAGTATTTATTTATTTATTTTTTAAAAATTAAATACAAGGATTATATAACTTTTCAATTGTGAATGTTAAAAAATAAGTTGAATTAAAAAAAACATGGTCAAAATTATTGTACATTTGTGGAAACACTTTTTTTTTTTTAAGATCACGTGTCTGTGACGTGTACCAACATCCGCCGCGGACGTCACCGCTGTCAGCGAACATGGCGGCGTCCTGTGTGCGAACCGTGGGTTCGCTTTTTGGGAAATGTGGGAATTGCAGCTCGGGTATAAACACGATCACTTCGCAGTTAAGCCGGCAGGTACATGTTCCGTTTGTCTTTAATGAATTAACCAGTTCTAGATTTTAAACAAACGTGGTTGGATGCAAATTACCTACGACGTCGAACAAACTGACGTCCTTGAGCTAGCATCCTCTCGCAGCGTCCGTTAGCCGAAACTAGGTTGAGGAACCTTTAAAATAAAAGCTAATCCACGTTGCATGTAGTTTTATCGTTGCGTGAGCGTCTTTGAAGTGTGTTAATATATATTACTGAACCCTTGACTACAGTTCGGCTGTTTTTACATGCCGCTCCGGCTATTTAGCAAGCTACCATAGCTTAGCCAATGTCGCATGTTTGAAAAATGATCAGCGTTTGTCCTCGTCCGCAGGTGCTGAGCAGGCAGATATGTGTGAGCTCTGCCCTCCTCAGGAAGAACCTGGCGACTCCAGGGCCGGAGAAGTTCACCGCGGAGTACATCCAGGAGCAGGTGAAGGAGTTCGACATCGGGAAACGGCACCTGGCCAACATGATGGGAGAAGACCCCGAGAACTTCAGCCAGGAGGACATAGATGTAAGAGAGGACACATTCAGGGACACCTTGCAGAACACTGGGCACAATAGTTAAGCATCAAGAATGAGATCAGAGAGGATATAACACTAGCAGATTGAGTCAGAATGGGTTTGCTATTCTGAACAAATGTGTTTTGAGTTGTGAGTTCTTCTGTGCACTTGAATCCAGCTGAAAGATGCATTGCAGATTCAAAGTTCTGGTGCATCTGAAGGATCTGACAGCTGTGATGTTGACTCCAAAGCTTGGAACAGACAGCAGAGGAACATCTTAATGCATGGCAAGGGGTGAGAAGATCTGAAAAGGTAACAGAGAGCCGGGGTATAGATGAGTGTGAAGATGAGCAGCAGAACCTTGAAAGAGTTTTGAAGCATTTGGAGCTGCTGGATATTGGATAGAAAGGCAAGAGAGGGACGGATGAAGTCTAGAAATAACCTGAAGGTGGAAGTCGGGAGTGTGTGAGAGTGATGGATGTGCCACCTAAACGAAAGCATACCATGCAACGTGACATAAAGACTTTTATTTTGAAAGGAAGTGTGAACCAAATAGTCAAGAATGAATGCAGTAACTGGGTGGATTTTGGATTGTGTGGTATTTTAGTGTAGGAGCAGAACTTCACTGGCATTTCTATTGAATTTGAGAGAGTTGTTTATGTGCAAAACAGTTTTTCATCTCAGTTTCTGGTGATATTTTTATAGCTTGAGGGCTGTTTTGCTTCATTTATGAAACACTGAGTAGGACTAAGCATTAGTGAGTAAAGGGTCTGGATGTTTTGGAGATGACAGATGATGTATACTATTGATTCATTGAACTTTTAAGAGAAATAGTGTAATTTGGACCCCATTTGAGAGATGTTTCTGGAAGTGGACAGCACACATGGCAAAGAAAATCATGTCGTTTAACGTACGAGTGTCTTGGTCTAGAGTCAGATCATTCCCCACTTTTTGGGGTTTTTTTTGGAGTATGATGGAGGATTATTGAGTAAAAATCTTGGGTTAGACAGTTTGTTTTATGACATTGCTTTGCTCTGAGATGTTTATAGAAAGTAAAATGTTACTGCAATGTAATCTGCAGGCCAACGTAGTAAGATAATGGATGTAAACCGGGTTTTGACTCAATGTTTATGGGAGCTGAAGTTGTCGCTGTTTCTCAGAGTCTTTCCTCTGAGTTTATTAAACACCTGCAGCATCAGGATTCTTGTTGAATCTCGATGTATGACAAATATATCACGGCTTTTCCCCTCGCTGTTGTGGATACATCTGAATGAAGGAGGAACATTAATGTATAAGTGATTTATGTATGAATGAAAAAAAAATGCCCTCACTTTAGCAGATGAAGCCAGTAAGGCGTCTTTACTCATCCTTAGTTTCAGTCGATTGCAAATTTGCTGGCACTTGGAATGCTAATGGTTAAGTCTGTTTATTTACAAGATATTAAAGTGGCCATATTTAGTCACCACATGATATACTGTGCACAGACATTTTTTTATTATTATTATTATTTAAATGCTATTTTTTTTAGTGGAAAAGGTGAAGAATGAAAAAGATGAAGCCATGATACGTTGTGTGATTGTTATAGTCACTTTTATAGTGAACAAAACCTTTCATTTACTTTGATTGAATCCTGAAATCCTGCCTTCCCAAGTACACTGGTCCCCAAAAATATCCAGATTGTACAACTGATTGAGTCACATTTTCCAAAAAAAAACTACAGCTGTTGAAGGAGATTTTTGAAAATGAAGCTGTAGATTTGCGAGGGCCTGAAACGCTGATAGAATCGAACATCCTTAATTCGTCCCACAAGGGGAAATTTGCAACGTCACAGCAGCAAAGTGACAAGAAAAGCAGGAAAACACAACTATAAATTAAAGATATGAGGTATATACACTGTAGATACAATATAAATAAGAAAAACAGAAGAACACAAGGATACTAAGAAGACAAATTTACATGAATTAAATGCACTTGGCTTTTTTGCACATTCACTATTTGATGCCAGCAAGGAGGGTTTGGATTTTCCAGTTGCTGTTATTGCTGCAGTGTCTGTAACTTGAATCATTTTTGACTTGCCGTGCAGAAGAAGCGCTCCGGAGCTGTCGTGGTCGGACGACTTAGTTTCAAGACAGGTGATTTGTTTCAAAAGTCCTCTCACCATCAGCATCATTAGCGTCGGTGGAGTCCACAGGCAAGCCGGCAGGTGTGGCCGCCTCTGGCTAATCCGCTGCATCATTGATATTAGCGACGCCCTCAATCACACATGCTTATTTGCGATTTTGGCAACGCGCTAGCCCTGGCCGCTCCAACCGTTTAGCTCGATTTCCCACCCCGTCCCTCGTCCCGGTCCCCGGCGCCCCTCACAGATAATGAAGAGAGCCGTGGGCGCCAGGCTGTGAAAGCCAAAGCGACGGCCAGCATGCCCAAACTTAGATGTGTGGAGGGGGAAGAGGAAAATTTGGGAGGACTGGAGAGGTGCGAAGCGGGGGCAGCTGATAAATCCGTCCGCTCTGGTGCGCAGTCCAGACTCCTCAGGTGTGACGGTGATAAAGACCCAGGAAAAATCAAAAGGATGTTTACAGCCAAGGGGGGGAGAAATTAACACTGTCCACAGAGCCACAAAGACCCACAAACGTCTGGTGTGGCTGCTGAAAACAAAACTGTGAAATATTCTTCTGTTACCTGTTACCATTTTTTTTTTTTTAAATATATCTGAAAATACCTTTTTTGTAAGAAGTCATGGCTGCACCATCTGCTCACACACAAGCTGCCAAGATAAAGTTAGACTAAAGTTAGCTGCTTCTAAAAGTAAAGCTGAAACAGTTAGTTGATGGACTGAATGACAGAAAAAAACTACATTTAAGAAAAAAACTAAATCTTTTCTGGTTCAAGCTTCTTAAATGATAGAATTTTTTTTGCATTTTTGCTTCTGGGCTGTTTCCAGATTTCCGTAAATCGTGATTTATGCTGGAATTTATGCTGTTTTCTGACCTTTTTTGTCATAAAATGATTGATCCATTCATTAAAAATGTACTTGAGCTGTGACTAGACATTATTGGTCTCTTATACTATCTTCTCACTTGAATATTATGTCAATTTTTTGAACATTTTTTTCTATTAAAAGTCATTAAATAGTGAGAAACTCCCATCAAGGTGTTCCAGACTGAAGTGCTGAAACAATTCATGGATTGATTCATTGACTGAAAGGGTTTATATTTTATATAATTAGATTTAATGTGATTATCTTCCCATTTTTGACGGTTGATTTGGGAAACTGCAGGGGTTTTCAGAGAGTTTCCAACTATCTAATGTAGAAAAACATAGCAAGAACCATGATTCTCATCTAGTCGTACATCTCAGTGAGCCTAGAAATTAGGGATAAAAGTACCAATTCTATCCATCAGCGCTTTTAATTAGTGTTTCTGATTCATTAGCTACCTGTCAAATATTTAAAATCTGACAAAGTGGAAGGAAGACGGCGTGAATTTGGTGAATCATCGGCACGACGGTTAAACCCTGGCTGGCATTTATCTTAAATTGCAGCATGTAAAAGACAGAAAAGCAGCAAATCTTCTCATTTCTCAACTTCAAATCTGTTTATTGTTTGAACATTTAAAAAACAAGAAGTTTACACAGCTGGATTTTTATTTTTATTTTATTTCCTCTGCTGTCCTGTTGCGCCTCCCTCCGATCGTCTCCCCATGTCGGTGAAATTTGTCGAATCCGACGCCCCGCCGCGCCGCTACTCTGCTCGCTTGTACAGGTGACAGCTCCACTGTCGCTTCCCCTCTTTCTTCCTCTGTCACTCCGTCGTCGGCCCTCGGGGATCTCTCCCATATTGTGTCGACTCTCTGGGGAGGTGTGTCTTCATCTGTTGCCTGCTTCTCTCTCTCTCTCTCTCCTTTGCCTGTCTTTTTTTTTTTCCCGCCCCTTTAACTTCTCCTCAGTTCCTCTTCCTGCCTCTCACACCTTCACACACACACACATTTCCCTCGACCGGCCCTTTTCTCGCTGCTTTCCGTCGTTTTGACAACCTTAAAGGCAGCAACCTGCTCCCTCCGTGCAGCACCTGCTGCCTCACTAATTGAACCGACACCGAGAGCGGTGGAAAAGAGGACGAGGAGCGGGGAGATGGCGGGATGGAGGAAGAGAGAGATGAACAGGCTGTCTTGATGAGTGTGGCGGGGCCAGCACACTTCTTGTCTGCCTCTCTTCTCTCACACACACACATTCCCGGCGCCATCTGTAGCCCCGCTAATAATGCCGACACACACACACACACACAGCAGAGGATGAACTTGGAGTGAACTGTTGGACGTCCACGGTGTCCTCTGCTCGCTGTCAACAAAGCCAAAAACTTGTGCCTTTTTCTGCTTGTTTTCTCCTCTAACTCCACGGCAACACACACACACACACACACACCGCTCGCCTTTTCTTGAACCCGCAAGCAGCTTGCGCCTCTTCTTCTGTCACTTTCGCCGCCGTTCCGTCGGTGTGACCTCTGTTGTTCGGACATGTCAGCGTTGTCACAATCTGCCATCATCTTCTCAAACTGCCATCTCTGTTTTTATATTTATTAATATTCTCTCCTCTCTCTCTCTCTCTCTCTCTCTCGCTGACAGAGGAGCATCGCCTACCTCTTCCCCTCCGGCCTGTATGAGAAGAGAGCTCGGCCTCTCATGAAGGTAAGTCCAGGCTTCACAGTGTAAAGCGCTGGCGTCTTTACTGTACTTTTTGTCAGTAACTTCTGATCTAAAGACAAAAAAAAAAAGCCACAAACTCCTACGTGAAATAGTTTTATGGTCTGTTAACTTTATTCACCGACTTTCCATGTCAATTAATGAAACATGCCTCTTTTTATGATAAATCTAAAGAGTCAAGAGATGATTTAAGATTTCGTATTTGTCAGATTACATTATTTGTTTCCCCTAAAATCACATTATTTAGTCTGTTTGAGTCGGTAGAAATCTCAGATCTGACAAGTACATAAGGCTTAGTTTTGATGGAGGTTGGGAACTAAAATGAAGTGTGAAGATAAAGTCTCAACTGCCCTCCAAGAATAAATGAAATCACATGCATACTAGTCTGTAGTTTGTGCTAAAACTTAAGCTTTATAACAGGAATTGAGTATTTTGGTTTGTTTTAATGAGGACTATCATACGGTGAAATGACGTGCATAAACAGAAACACGCTGCAAACACGGAAACGCTGCATATCCAGTCACATAACAGAAGTACCCCAGGCCTCTAGGGGCAGTAGTGAGCTTTAGCTCTTCAGTCACTGTGATTCTATGGGTGCTGAAGTGATGTTCTACCACCGTCTCTCTGTGTTCTCTCTGTTATTTATGTTTACCCAAGGAGACGAGAGAATACTTTTCATACAACTTTCACTCAACTATCTTGTCTCTATCATCGTTGTTTGCCTCTCAGGTGAAAAGCTCACTACTGCCCCTAGAGGCCTGGGGCACTCCTGACGTGTGACTGTATGTACAGAGTTTTCTTATATGCACATCATTTGCCCCGGTCGGCCACCCTACTATCAGGACAATAATGAATTTCACTATAATATTTGGCTTTTTGTGACCTATTTTTGCCACTTTTGGGGCTTTTAAATTCATTAAACCATTGGGTGTAATCACTGAGCTGCTCACAGCTGAAGTCCACACTAAGCTTGTAACCTGTTGGGCTGCAATAAGTAGATTTTAGTGTTTCTGGACACCATTTGAGATCAAATTCTTCTCCTTTTTTGGTCATTTTTTTGTAGAAACATTTGCAAAAGACAGAAAGCAAAAAGCAGAAAACCAAATGGGGCACACACTTTATTCTTATGTAGTGTATTGTCATGTATATATTGTCTTTATTTAGATTAGATGCAGACAGAAAGGTGAGACATTGTGTTCTGTGACGTCTGTCTCATAAGTTTATCTATGAATTAATTCCCAATTTTTTTATGTAAACGTTGTAGATGATATAATATATTAATATAATAAGTTCAAAGTGTTCGTCTATTGTTTAGTTTTATAGGTTTTACTTTGTATATTGTTTTATTGACTGTGCTCATCAGTGCAAAGGAAATTAAAACCTAAACTACTTTCCATATGAGATATAAGATTAACATTACATATGTATCTCACATATATGAGCTCATTTAAATGTTAAGGTCAAGACGTTGCAGTAATAAAACCGCACTTTGTTCCAGTGGAAAGGAAGAACTCCATTTTAATAGAAAGAGGCCTCCAGCAGAACCAGGCTCAGGTAGAGCAGCCGTCTGCTCCCACCAGTCGGGATGATGACGAACGGCAACAAAGTTTATGACTGCAAATCAGACACATGCAGCCTGATGAGAGGACAAAACAGATGCTAATGTCATGCTATAGCGGCGTTTAAGGGGTTGCAAACACGAGTATCAACACATAATAAGGCAACCATTTAAACTAGAGAACCAAGCTCGAGCATGTTGGTGAAATTTAAAAAAATCAAAGTCAAGGAAGTGTAGAAGAGGAACAAAACCAATCAATGCAAAACAGCAGAGCGATAAAAAGAAAGAAACTAAGAGTGGACATGATTGAGCAGCCTCGAGAAAAGCATGGGGGGAAGTCTTGATTGAAAACTGGTGGGCAGTAGACGAAAAAGCCTTCGGTGTCGAGGTGCGAGGACTAATTGTCATGATGACCCGAGGGGACCAAGAGTAGTTTTCCACTGATGATTCAGCAAAGGGCAAGCAAGAGAACAAACAAAAGCAAAAGGAAAGGAGGAACTTTACTTAACGGCACCAAAAAGAAAGTAGAAATTAAATTCTGTGTTCCTGCTGCTGCCTCTTCTACACAATACGATGGGGGTGATAGGACGAGGTGTGTCAGAAAAGTTCCAGGACTGGTGTCACAAAAGATATATTTCGAGAAGAGGCGAGAGGTGTGGCAGGACAAGTCGTGGCTGCTTCACCGTGACAACACCCTCAGCATCCGACACTTCCTGGCTGAGAAGAACATCTCCGCGCTGGAGCAACCTCCCCACCTGGCTCCGTGGGATTTCTTCTTCTTCCCGACGTCAGGATGGCTGTGACGACGTATGTTAGACTCCAGGTGGGATTACTTGTAGTTTGGATTTTGCGACACCAGTCCCGGACCTTTCCTGACGCACCTCGTGTTTACAGGAGGGCTCAGATCACAACACGCCGGGTGGTTGGAGGAGAGCCCTCGCCTTCCTCCACAGTCACAAACCAATGTCACGCATGCTTTGCTCGACTTCACACGAAATCTGCTTTCATTTCCAGCATCCTGAGGAGATATTTCCAAAGCAGAAAGGTACGTAATGCGCCCCCCCTCCCTCGATTACACATTTTTCACTGACAAAATTGCACTAAATTCTCTTTCCTCTCCATAAAGCCGTCCAGTGGGGAGAAGACAGGCGGCCTTTCCACTTCTTGTTTTACACCGGCAAACAGTCCTACTACTCCCTCATGCATGTGAGTACAGCAAGAAGCAGCGCTGTCAGGTTTTTTACCTTCATCCCGCTCGAATCCTCCCTCTTCACCTTCCCCCAGCCTCCCGCACCCTCGGGTCATATCCTATTCAGGCAGAGTGAGCCGAGAGAAGACGCCGGCGTCCCCGAGGAGAGGCAGCGTCAGATCCTCTTTTCCACACAGCTGAATAGAGCCGGGGTGAGAGAGAGGTGGGAGATTAGAGGAAGGTGAGACGGAGGGGGGAAGAGGAGGTCAGAGGTAGCCCCGGTTTAAGGGGGGATTGGGGGGGGGGGGGCGGCTTTTCCTTGGGCTGTGGGGTTGGGGAACGGGGGAAGGTGGAGTGTTTCACCTGTGTCACCTTGTTCTGAGGGGTTGATGCTGTCTCGGTGTTTCAGCAACACATGGATTGTATCAGCTGTTGTTGCATAAAAGTGCAGCATAGAAAGTATACCGTGATCACACTGTGCTAAAGGTAAAGTGAGGATGCTTAGAAATATTCAAGCGTAATCACCGTGAAGATGAGATCAGGGCTGGTGTAGAGATTCTGCTGCTCAGTTGGATCGAGATCTGGGTTCAAAACATCCGATGTTTAATATATAACAACAAAAGATTTTCAGCAAACTCATCTAATTGTCCAAATAACTACTAGCCCAAATTGTTGGTGATTTCCCAAATACCACAAATTCTAATCTATCTGCTGCTTTACCAACAGTGAGTGTGGCTCGTCATTAGGTCCTGATTGGTCTGGGATGTTGGTTCAGTTGTTCCAAATTGGTTCATGTGGATCCTGATGCTGCAGGTGTTTAATAAAAAATAAAAAAGACTTCTACAAACAACTGGAAGCAACAGACTTAAGCCCCGGATAAGGTTTTATATAATTATCATTATTGCCGAGTCGCATGAAGTCATGAGTCTTCATTGACAGAAAAGTGACCCCAGTGTTCGTTCAGACATTTCAAATGCTGTCTAGAGAAGCTTTATACTGAAGTAACTGAAATGTTAGTGATGACGATCTCCAAACCCCACCAAAACTATTTACATGGATGTTTATCAACCTTATGAGATCTTCACAATCACTTCGTATTTGCTCTCGATAGTACCCTCTGCGTCCTGAGTCGAAGGCAAGTGAATGAAATACGAGAAAACGCACCCGTGTGAAACCTTAAATAGACTTTTTTGGTCATTTCAGGGAGGCTCCAACACATACAATTTGAAAATTAAAGCACTGGAAGTTACTCTTATCACTTTGTATTAGTTTTAATTTTAACATGGCGGCCTGTTATCATGCTGTACAGATGATCTGTGTTCATGCTTAAACCTCCGTCGTTTTCATAAAAATCAGCAGCAGATCAGGTTTTACCTGAAAACGCTCAAACGACTTGGATCAATAAATAGTCAATACATTAGATTTCATTGCTGATCTGTCACATATTTAGACTGTCAGGACTGGAACATCTGTATCAAAGGTGTTTTAATATAAATAAAAGAAAATGAAGAAATAAATTAATCTAGTGTTACGACGGAGGATTAGGGCCACATTAAGAAAAATATTTTTCCACAGACTTTGAGAATAAAGTCGGAATTTTATAAGAATAAAGTCTGAATTTTACGAGAATGAAGTTGGAATTTTAGGAGAATAAAGTCGGAATTTTTCAAGAATAAAGTTGTAGCATTTAAACCAGTTGTTTTAGAAGAGGAAAGTTGTTAAAATGAGGGCCGTGGAGCATTTTGTGAAGTTATACCTCAGCATCGGTTTAACAAACCAGGAGATATTTCATCTTTCAGCGCATCAGCACCACATCATCATTAGTACCAGGAAAAGAATCTGCAAGAAAATGAATCTATTCTGAAGAAAGAACCTTCGGAATAGATTCATTTTCTCGCCCTCATTTTAACAGCTTTCCTCTTCGAACAACTGGTTTAAATTTTACGACTTTATTCTTGAAGTCTGTGGAAAAATATTTTTCTTAACGTGGCCCTGATCCTCTGTCGTACAGTGTGGACTCAAACAGTGATATGTTGGATGTAATTTATCATCTGTAATCTGATTGGTTTCCGCCTCTCATCAGCATCCACCACACATTTAACAGAATCAACCAGAAAACTCGACTAAATAAAACATTTCTATTAAACGTCATGTTGTTGAACCAACATTTAGACCAATCAGCTGTTAGATCAGGTGAGAGCAGCCGTTTCCCATCATGCTCTGAGGCTGGAGAGCTGCTGCACCTTGACGTCACAATGTGATCTTCATTATTGTGACAAGAGAGCAAGTGGAAATCTACCCAGAATGCATTGCGTGTCGATCACTGATCAGCTCTGAGAAGATAACATAAGAACAAAGCAGCTTTTCAGGGCAGAGATTCCTGTAATAAACCAATTCTAAAGGGGGAAAAATAAACAGTTTTGTGTCCAAGGTGTGGCACGTCTGGCTTTTGTCCCGCCACGGGGAAGCGACTCCTCCACCAGGATTTGGAAGGGGGAAGCGGGGCGTGGCGGAGCAGGTCGGCGAGGTGGTGGAGGGGGGGGTGAGTCCCTGAGGGGAGGCCCGGGGAGCAACCACTGCTCCAACAAACCTCCCTCTATTCTCCTGTAACACTCTCAACCGTTCCCTTCCTGCCTTGACCTTGTTCAAAGACGCAACACAAGAGGCACGCGTCTGTATCTCCGACGCCGAATATCGGCGCACACTATTGTGCCCCGCAGCCACAATCTGCACCCCCTGCTGTTGGTTTAAATAGGTATGTCAGACATGTCTGAGAGCTGGTGCTGCCTGTCTGCATGATTGCAGGCTCAATCACTCTCTTCTTTTTTTCCCCCCTCCTTCATTTCTTTCCTCATCCTGTGTCCATCCTGAGAGTCTTTTTTTTTTTATCACCAGCCGTCTCTCACACCTCAGGAGTGTTGCCAGGAGGGGGCAGCGGCGTGTAAAGCAGCCTTTTCCTGCTCGGCTGCTCTCCTCTTGGCTGTTGTTGGGCTCAGCCAGCGTGGCACATTAACCTGCTCGCTGCACCGCCGAGCCCTTTATGGCCGCCGCCCTGGGGGAACCTGGAAAAAACGCCTCCCTCCCTCCGCCGGCACCTTCTCAAAACCCCCCGCATCCATAGGTCTTCTCTCCGGTTCGGTTAAATGAGGATATTCCTCTGAAGCTTTTAGCATTTAAAGACCACTTATTGAATAGACGGAGTGGCGCTCTGGCTGCCTGTCTCTGTAACAGCCCCGACTTAAATGTATCCAGATACCGGCCCCTCTCCTCGCCTTTCATCCCACCAATCCATGCGAATTATTCCTCTTTGCCATTGTCGAACCCAATGTTTGCAAACGTGTAACTCAAGCCCCTTATCCAAGCCTCCCTCCTCTCCTACTGCCTTCTCTTTTTTTTTTTTCTGATTTTCTATTACGCCTTTTTTTTTTGGCAAAGAAAATTGGTTTTTGCTTGATGTTTGCTTTTTTTTTTTTTTTTTTACCCCCTCCTCCTCCTCCTCCACCTCCTCCTCTTCCTCCCCTACACCCCTCTGTGGCTGGTCAGAGTGGCAGCGGATTAGGCACACTCTATCAAGAAGGAATTAAACAAACATCTGGTGAATAATTGACGGGGAAATGAGTTCTCACCCAGGCGCTGGGTGGCTGAGGTGGGGGGGGCGCCTGCCTCGGGGACGTGACCGGCATGCCCACCCCTTTTCTTCTTCCCCCCTGTCTGTCTGTCTGTCTGTCGCCATGACACCCCCACCATCAGGTTATCCTCAATGCGACGTTGATCAAGTGATGAGCGAACCCCCCTCCACTCCACCAAAACTGTCCCATCATTTATTTAATTTCGCCCGTTTGCTCCAGCAGGTTTCCTTCCAGCTTCGCTCCAGGCTAAATACATGTACAGCACAGGTGCCAGGGTCAAATCAGAATATATGAATTATGATACACGCATTAATGAGTTCGTATCTCTGTCGTATAAGATCGACTTTTATAGTGTTCAGCAATAAAACATACCGTAAGTCGTTGGAAGATCAAAAAATAAACGATGATTAACCTTCAGAACCTTAAAATTAGTCTTGGAGAGGTTTTTTTTTCTTTTTAAATCCCCAAAATTACACTTTTCATCACAGCAAGAAGCTAAAAACAAGGGATGCACAATATATCGGCGACCACATCGGTATCGGCCATACAATCCATTAATCTATTAAAGAAAAGGCAAAATTCACAAAAGTCGCTCAAATAACTAGAAACTGAAAAAAGTAATAATAAATAAAAATTTGCTAAATTGTAATTTAGTGAAATAAGACATTGCTTTTGAATTGTGGTTGAAAAGAGTAATTTAAAAAAATAGTACAACTGTCAAATTAGAGCACTATATGCTGATGAGCAGTGAAGCAGTATTTTTTTTTTCTTTAAATATTTCTGTTGAACCACAACTCAAAAGCAATGTCATGATTTTCATTACATTTTATTTATTACTTTTGTCAACTTATATCAGTGGCACCTTCTTTAATGGGAGGGTATGAATACATTTGAGGGCGACTGTATCAGTCCGATGAACAAATTGAGCCGATGATTGTCTAACATCAGCGCCTTCGACTCTACATTTGATGCTGCTGCTATTTCACAGATGTTTTTACTTAAATTATCCTGGACTTAAATATGTTAAAATATGTTTTGTTAGGTAATAAAGAAGACTGTGTGGTCTAATTTGGTTCTTTTGAATAGTTTGTGTTTACTTATACTCATTTTTCGTGAACAAATATTGAATATCGACATCGATAATATCGGTTATCGGCGATATCAGAAATCTTAATATCAGTATCGGCCAGAAATTTTAATATCGTGCATCACTGGTAAAAACAGAATTGTTCAACTTTCTAACGGACCTCCAACTACTCATCTGTGACATGCCCTTCCATTGAAAAATGTAATCAAATCTTCTCTTAAAGTCATTGTTTTTGATCAAAATCAATTTAGTCTACATGTTAATTTAATAACGTGGCCAAAGTGAAGCCTTTGTGCTAAGATTCTGGAATAAAAACACAAATTCTGCGTCCATCAGTGCAATCAAGAGGCCTTGAAAGACAACCTGAGGAGTATGGAAACCGAAGACTCTTAAGGGATTCCTGTGTTTTTTAGCTTTTCTAAGATAATCAAGTAAATTTAAGTTTTTTTTTTATGACATAAAGGATCATAATTTTGTTACACTGCACCAAAGACATTCTCTCCTTCTAGAAATGGTTCCTGACTTTATATTGCAGTGAAAAATTTGTCTGGAGCAACAAAAAACCCAAAAACTGCATCAGGTTTGTCGCATTAATCTTCATCTTTCAGGCTTCTGTGACAAAGTCGAACAGATAATAAGACTCAGAATATTTCAGGAGTTTATCAAGAAGTGCAGCAGAAATTTTTTCCTCTTTCATTATGGACACAAGTTGTAACGTAAAGCCACTAAATATGTTAAACATTAACCAGTGAGTGTAGATAGAAAGTGTCGGCCTCTTTGATAAATTTACATCTTTCAGCTTCACATGATTCATTTAAAAACTTCAGAAGGTCGAGCTGCCGGGTGATTAACTCGAGAAAAGGTGAAACAGTTGTAAAGATAAACGCATTCAGCGTTTAGCACAACAGTGTAGAAAAGCTTCAGTTTTTGAATCAGTACAATCCTCAGTGTGACTGTGAAGAGGCCACACATGGAAGATTTCCACCTCGCGAGGCACAGCGCCAATTTCGAGCGGGCCAGCACCCAGCCCATGGATGGCTAGCTCGCTCTGCATGGCAGCTCCTGCTGAGAGGGAGAGAGAGAGAGAGAGGTGTTCTCCCACCCAGATACCACTGGAGGCATATGCTTCTTCTGCTTGTGTTTGAGATAAGTGTTGTTGTTGTTTCAGGAGCTGTACGGAAAAATCCTGAACATAGAGAAGCGCCAAGACTTCGTGAGAGCCAAAGGACGGTTCTCCAAGGACGCCAAACGCATGTAAGAGGGCAAAAAGAAAGGACAAATCGTGCACCATCCTTTCCTTTCTTGTAAACTTGATTTTTCTTTTCCAGTCGCTCTCTGGGCACGAGCAGGTGGCTCACAAAGGAGGAGCTGGAGGTGCAGCTGGTGGAGACCATATCCTCGAAGGATGTAAGTGTCTTCGTCCTCGTCTTCTACATCCAGGAGTTCATCACAGCTTGACCCCCCCGTGCGTTCTCTCCTCCAGTACGACCGCTTCCTCCAGCTGATGGAGCGCCTCCTGTCCATGTCCTACAGCGACATTGAGGAGGAGTTCGTCCTGCACTACCGTCGGCAGCTGGAGGCTCAGTCCATGAAGCACATAAGGCCGAAGCTGGACAGGGACGAGAGGGGCGTGACCTTCAGCAAAGCAGACGGTAGGTTCACAATCGAGCCACGCGGTTAGATAACGTTTCTGTCGTGCAACCAATGAGGATTCCCTGCGTTCTTTAAACCAGCCAGCAGGGGGCGACTTCTCTAGTTGTTTTGTTACCTCAGTAAACATCTTCCTAATGAATTTATGGTCCTCATCACTGGTTTCAAGTCTCTTTTATTACATTATGAAATGAATTATGGTCTAATTTAGAGTAAAATAAATCAGGATAGGCTTTAGAGCTTGGCGTCTCCATCACATCTGCCCTTCATTCGCCATTTTGGCTCCAGAAATCTAAGAAAGTTCCAAACTAGCAGCTTCAAAACAGCAACCACAAACCAAGGAGTGACGTCACCGTGTCTGCGTCTATGTTTTATATAAATTAAATGTCTGAGATTTGCCTCAGTGAACAGTTTTCTAAAGGAATAAGTTCATTAATCTGCAAGAAGGAGCAACCTCAGTCCCTTTTTAAGCTTTTTTCTTCTCTCAGGTCACATTTTTACTCCCTGTGGATTCATTTTTTCACTGCAGTATAAAATGGAAACAGCACAACCATGACTAGACACAGAGAGAACTTAAAAAATGTCCTCTGTGCTGATGTCATGAATCATTAAAAAGAGAAATCAAAAGTTGACGTTCATCTGTTTTGCAACAAAACTCCACATGCTGTCGATATTTGACTGCTTATATTTTGAATTTGCTTCAATATTTGTCTCATTTTTTGCTCTGTAGTTTGCAGTCCAGCTGAAAAATCTGCAAAAATGTGTCACTCCTGGGTTCACACTTGTGCCGAGGAGCGCAGAAATTTTTCTTTCTTTACAGTTTTTGGCGAATTTTTGAATGAAACATGAAAAATAAAGTGATTTTGATGATGATCGCAATCTTTAGCTTTACATTTTGCTTCACACTTGTGCCGAGGAGCACAGAAATTTTAGCTTTTTTACAGTTTTTGAGCGAAACATGTAAAAATAAAGTGATTTTGATGAATTAAGTCAATCTTTAGCTTTACATTTGGATCATATTCTGGATAGAACGACAGATGAGTGGCTTGAGAACCATCAGAAAGTTAAAAAAATGTAATGAATCTTTTAGTTTCTACAGGTTCCGATTCTGGTAAATGGTGTATTTTTGACTATTTTTATTTGCTATCATGGTTAGAAGAGCTAAATGTGTCTCAGAAACTTGTGAGACCAATAATAAAAGTACCAAAAACTACAAATTCAGGTCCTGATATTCTAATTTTCTCACCTCCTGCTGCAGTTCAGGGAAAGCTTTAACATAAAACATTTGAGTACCGTTTCTATCTTCACTCTCAGGTCGGAGGAAGACGGCCGAGGCGTCCGTCGTCCTCCTAGACTGCGGCTCCGGCCGCGTCACCATCAACGACCAGGACTACCTCCAGTACTTCCCGGTGCTGCAAGACAGGTAGGAGCCAAAAATCAAGCTTTCCACCTCACAGGCTCTCTTCATTCATAGATACCGTTTTCCTTAAAATGCAAGACGTGATGTGTTTTACTCTCCACAGCCGCCACCACCACCACCACCTCCACCTCCTCCTCCCCCCCAAAAAAATTAAAAAAGCAGCTTTTTCACTCTTCACAGCATCGCCTCGTTTTTTATTTATCTCCTTGTAGTAAGTTAATTACACAGTTGAGTGATTGTGTGTCAGCGTGTGTGTGTGTGTGACTGTCCAGAGCTGGTGTTGTCACGCAGTGTGAGGACGGGCTGTAATTGGAGCAGAGAGGTGACAATTGACTTTGTCAGCAGCCATAGGCCATTCAGCCCGAGACGCCATCCAGAACACAAGACACTTTCTTCTTCGCGCACACACACAGCCTCATCCTATTCCTGCTGAGTCAGAAGTCACTCTGTAATATGCGGTGGCGAGATTGTAAAAGAAAGCTTTTCACAGCGGCGGGATCCTCTGTGCTTGTCTGAAAAGTCACCCAACCAGACATTAAATTAGCTAAGCCTCCGCCGTTGATACCGCTATCTGTTAAATAGCACACACTCCTGCTCTGCCTATTCAACCACATTTCATTCTTTCACCTCCTAGGATTTTTTTTAAATTTTTTTTTATTATCGCTCGGTCATTTTCTTCCCCTCTCACCCATCCCCGTCTTTTTTTATTACCCCTCCGTTTTCTCAGGGAGCAGCTGATGTTCCCGCTCCAGTTCGTGGGCGTGCTGGGCCGCTTCGACCTGGAGTGCACCGTGAGCGGCGGCGGCAGGTCCAGCCAGGCGGGGGCGCTGCGACTCGCCGTGGCCCGGGCGCTGCTCGCCTTCCTGTCAGAGACGAAGGGCGAGGCGGTCAGACAAGGTGGGTTCATTTACCGCTCGGCTTCTGACTTTGTGTTATTACAGTTAGCTTTTATGTTTGTTTTTTCATTTACTTTTGAAATCAATTCAATCGGAGCTGAAAAATGAATGATTAATATTCTTATTATTATCATTACTTTCCCTACCATGAGTATTTCTATCAATTTATGACCTTTCCAGTAACTTTAGGCTGTCTGAGCCCTGAGCAGTTTGTTTGTTTTTGTCACATTTTTACTCGCTGTGGAATCTTTTTCCGGTTCAATATAAAGTCCTGCACCTCCATGGAAACAGCAGCAGCTCTGCTAGAAGTGGACAGAACTCTAAAATGTCTTTTGTGCGGGATACCAAAGTATAAACTAGAGTTGAAGTTCTTTTAGTTTTTTATTTTACAAAGATTAGAAAAAAAAAAAGCGTCACTAATGCTGAAAAAACAGCAACTCCACATATTGTACTGTACATATTTTACTTTATTCATATTTATTTGTTCTATACTTGTCTCCTATCTGCTGAAAAGTCCTACAATTTGTTGTCACATGACCGCCGTGCTCAGCTGAGGCACTGATGGCTTCACGATTGCCTTTTTTCAGAATGTTGTTTGTGCAAACTGGTCATTTTTAGTGATTATTTAAATGAGACATGTAAAGTAAAAAGATGTTTAAATATCACAGATTTAAAGTTTCACAGATGAGTACTTCAAGGACTGTTGGAAAGATGAACATCCAACCATTTACAGTGTCTGGCTCTTATAAATTATAAATAAAATGTTGTTAATTTTGGTATTTTTTGTGTTTTAAAGACAACCCAAAGTAGGATTTTGACATTTAGAGACTTTAAGAGCAACTGGCAGTTTGACAAAACCAAAACTACTTCTTTTTTTATTCTTTGCTCTACGACAACATCCAGAGAAGGTTTTGTAAAGGTGCTTTAAAGTCACCTCAACTTGGTCACAGAAGTTGGAGCGAGGTCCAGTTTACCAATCAGGAATATGGATCACAGCAGCAGCTTTGGCACTGGAGAGGTTCAGGATGTTTATTCATTCACTTATGATGAACTACAGCTTTATAATTATGAGCCTGCTGAGAGTCACGGAGACCAGAAACAGACGAGAATTAAGAGAGAACACCGACATCGCTGAGGAACTACTGTGTGAGGAGAATCAGTGGAGGACAGGGCTGGTGTCTGACTGACATTTGAGAACGTCGTGTTCCATCAGAAGTCTTGAAATTGAAATAACTACGATTGTCTGATTATGTCTCAAGTGTTTTATTTATTAAGTCTGTTCTTTGCAGTTTGTTTCTTGTTTCAGTTGTTGCTTTATTGATAATTATATTTATGTGTTATGACAAATTTATGGATGACAATCCTGCAGCTAAAGTACATTTTTAGGATTGTAAATTTAATTCAAAGTTTAATTTAGGCTTGTTGTATGACAATAATGCAGATGGTGTTTGTATAAAATTAAGAGAATTACAAAAAAAAAAAGCCTCACAAATCACATGTAACACAGAGACAGACTGGGATGCAGTTTTCAGCATTTTCTCTTATTTCTATTTTATTTTTTCTTCCTCCAGCTGGTCTGTTGACCGCCGACCCCAGAGTGAGGGAGAGGAAGAAGCCAGGCCAAGAGGGAGCACGACGCAAGTTCACCTGGAAGAAACGCTGAGGAGGAGGACAAACGATCTCACCTGAACTCAGACATCAAACATTGACCTCTGGTGTTTAAAACTGACTGTTTCTCCAGAGGCTGTCACTTGTGTCCCTTGTGTAGTTTATTGGAGCTCTTGGATGCAGAGCAATGTGTATGTTCACACAGCCGCCATGTCTTCAAGCTGCAGTGAGCCCCCTCAGCCACCAGATGGAGCTGTGTCACCAGGAATGAATAAAGCGGATTGTTTATCTCGATTATCATCAATAAATTAGATTTTCATATAAAAAAAAGTCTGTATTTGTTGTGATGTTGAATATTCTACAACATGTTTTTTTTTTTTTTTTTTAACATTCATATGTATCATTGTTGTAGTTTAACGATGAGGGAACATTAAGAAAATTATTTTTTGTGTTGCAAGTTTTCTAATTTTCTTTATTTAATGATACAAATTAGGTATCTTCTCTTAAAATATGTGCTAATTTGCATTTATTTCCAGAACAGACACCTGAACACTGGATCAGGCCACCCAATATTCCCAACAGCAAGAAAAAAAATGTACTTTCGCCGTTTTTTTAGGGAATAAAATGTTCTATAAAGTAGACTGTGAATGTTACACGAGCCAAACCCTGCTAGAAAAACCTTCTCAATATAGAATAGAATTAGTAAGTGCTACTGGAGAGGAGATTTGTGGCAATAAAAATAGTAAACAGCCTTTTGAGATAATTATGATTCAATACTTTTTAAAGTTATTCTTGAAAGTAACAGTAAAATATCTTAGAAATGCTTTGTTTAAAAAATGCAAGTGACTTATTTCAATAAATACGCACATTTGTATAAATGTGTTCCATTCAAAGTGTAGAACAACCAACACCAAGCTGTATGTTTTGGGTGTTTTCTGCCCATTAGTCTGGTGATATTTGACTCTCAGAATTGATCAGTGCATGACACACAGTGGTTTTGCTTTCAGTTTCTCGCCTTAACCTGAACGTAACTCACCTCACCTGTTTACAATTCAGTCCTAAGATCTCTCCCCAAGAAGATGAAACCACATCCACACCTCGCCACAAAAGACCCTAACGAACCCCATTGTGGCAGGGGGCGCACTAATGACTCACTTAACGAGGGGGAGGAGCAACAAACCCCCAATTGAAACTCAGGTGTGAACGGCTCCTTTAGGTTATAAGTATCTGGAACTCCCAATGAGTCAGTCAGAACTTGGATGAGAGGTGAAACGTCTTCAAGCAAGTCCAGTTGCTACGATTAATCCACGACAACAACCATGACCTGGAGAATCTTCACAGACGACGTACTGAGAGAAGTACTTTAAGCAGATTATTTGCTGAAGTTCCAACAATCTTTGCAAGGTGTAATGATTCAGAGAGAATTTAGAGACAGATCGTATAATTGCTGAGTTTGGAGGTTCTACAGCTTTTCTGGAAATATGTTATGAAAGTGTTCTTCCACACTTTAGGAATTTTATCTGGTAAAAGTGAAAAGTTAAAAAAAAAAATGTATGAAGCTGCTCCTTATACTTAAATGCAGGAAATCTTTCAAAGAAACAAAAGGCTGGATGGACATACTGGGATGTCTCCACTAGGTGGGGTCCTAAGCAGGCATCTGTGGTGTTGCATTATGGGAAATGTAGTACACTGATTTTCATAGCTGCCCTCAACTGAATGGAAATGCAAAACCAGTTATAGCCCCTTTCACTTGAATGATATCACAGTTTAATGTGTGTTATCTGTTTGTGTGCTGATTTTCTTGTGAACTGCACTGGAAATGAAGAAAACCAGGATTTAAATGGCTCCACAGTATTTTTATTCATGACCAAAGACTGTATCTCTGTTGTTTAGCTGAAACTAGCAGTTCTATTAACAAAAATAAGAATATATTATGTACATAAGACAGTTGTTCTGATGTTACAGTGCTGGTCATGCTGTTCTCTTTGTGTCTGTGGTGAAAACCTCATACCTCCAGACCAGCTTGCCCATGAACAGGGCAAAGCTTCTTTTCTCTCTATCTTTAATACGTTGTAACTTCTGGCTGTTTGAGAGGGAAATTTAATAAAGTTATACAATGACCAAGAAAGTTGTGTTCATTGGACACCCAGATCTGTTGTCCCAAGTGTATTTATTGTCCGTCTGCCTTGTTCAAACCTTCCAGTCAAGTTCAAGTTTCCCCTGATGGTACACTGATGGGCAGTTTTTCAGCTGAATGTCTTTGATTCAACACTGAAAACTCTGCTGTCCAAAAGAATGAGACTTTTAAGATTTTAGGTAGAAACCTTGTTTGCTCTCTGGCTTTTGAAGTTCTGCACTAAAAGACAAACATTCCCAACAACAAGAAGACGCAGTTGCTTACAGAGAATGCCGTCTACTCTGAGGCTGAAGACTCCAAAACACTGAGAAATGACTCCTACAGCGTCTTTGCCAGAAGCTCAAGGTGTAAGAAATGATAAGTGGTATTTTGAGGTTGTGGGTTCGATGCCCAGCTGATCTTATCAATTTTGAAGCCCAACGCACAAAGTAAAAGCTGAAAGTAGCAGGAACAAGTGACCCAATAGGTCAGAGTGATAGACAATGACTTCATGTTTCAGAATTAGTGGTTCAATTCCTTAGGAGGGTTTGTGACTTTTGACTTCCAACTCCCAAATTAAAGACTGAAAACAGCCCCAGAAGCATTGCAGATGTGTCTCTCAGTAGCTCAGCATGGTAGACAAGTGCTCACAGTCTCAGAGACTAAAGGTTCAAGTCTGAAGAGAGTCTGAGACTTTTAAAGTCTAACAACAAAAGTACAGACTGATAACTGTCCAGAAAGCATCTTAAAAGTGTGGTCCTGTAGGGCAGCATGGTAGAGAAGTGTTTGGGACTTCAGAGACTCTGGGTTCAAATCTTATGAGTGTCTTTTGAACACTCAACAATCATAGTGAAAAGTGAAAACCACACAAAGAGACGAAATCAACACTTGAGGCCTCAGTGGCATGATGGGTTCATTTATTGCCCTTGATGTTGTGGATCAAATCCTGCTGGTCTTAACTTGTCAAATTGTTTTTGACTTTCAGCTCCACAACCAAGCAGGTCATGCTGGGGGTCCAGCATTGACTAAATATCACTCAAAGGGTTTACAACTCAGCCTCTCTTGTGGTTTCTACCCCTCTGACACATTCCTAATGTCCAACCCACGTTTCTGGAGCAAAAATCAGGC